TACAGCAAGGGCACCTACATCCCCGTCTTCCCCACGAAGGATCGTCAGAGCTCCTGGAAAGGCCGCATCACAGACAATTCAGGCGATTCGATCACCATGGGCATCACTCCTACGGCCAACTCCATTGTGGGGAAGTACCACATGTACGTCGCCGTGGCGACACCCTTCGGCATCCGCAGAACAATACGGGAGGACAGCCGAGACCTCTACATCCTCTTCAATCCCTGGGTGGCAGGTCGGCTCAGGCCTCACATCATCAACAGTTTCTCTTTTCTTTCATCTCACCTTTAAGTTCACAAACATGCTCCTGACCTGTCGTCTTCAGATGACGCTGTGTTTCTGGACGATGAGCGAGAGAGGGAGGAGTGTGTGATGACCGAGATGGGGATCATCTACCACGGCGCCTACGACGACATCTCGGAGAGAGACTGGAACTATGGACAGGTAGGAGACAAAGTGATCGACGAATCTCAAGACTTTTTTACCAACTAAATTTTCAAATGTTTCCCTTTAGTTTAACTTCGGAGTCCTGGATGCCTGCCTGTACATCATGGACAGGTCTGAGATGCCCATCACCAACAGGGGAGACCCCATCAAGGTGACCAGAAAGGCCTCTGCTATGGTAAGAAAATATTCATGGAACTTCTTTAAAACTTTTACTGAGCAACAGCGTCCTCTGTTGATTCATTCTGTCGGGTCTAGTTCCACTTACTCATGATAGTGATGCTGTTCTATACAATTTTATATCAACATATAAACCTATAAATAAAGGGATGTTTGATGATTTAAGAATCAGTTCATATTTATGACTTAATAATTCAGTCAAAAGGAAAAAAAAAGCCAAATTGCAGAAACTTGTAATAACTTCATTCCACTGTGTTGTAATTTATTAGATTTGTATCTAACATCTGTTGAAGACTTGTCATTGGTCGTTCTCAGCTGAACTCTCGTGATGACGATGGCGTGTTGGTGGGGAACTGGAGCGGTGACTACACCTACGGCGTGGCGCCCACCTCCTGGACCGGCAGCACAGACATCCTGCTCAGCTACGCCAGCAGCAAGATGCCCGTGTGCTACGCTCAGTGCTGGGTCTACGCAGCCGTCTTCAACACCTGTGAGATCCTGAACAGATATTTTACATTTTCCACTTCCTCCGAGTTAAAGACAAAGACGTCTTAATTAATTAATCAAGAGGAGTTACGCTGTTCAGACCAAACTTACACCAAGCAATGTAATCAATTATCAACCACTTCATGAGTTCTGTTTTTGCTTTCTGTCTCAGTCCTGCGCTGTCTGGGCATCCCATCCCGTGTCGTCACAAACTTCTACTCCGCCCACGACAACGACGGAAACCTGACGACTGACATCATCCTGGATGAGAACGGCAGGATTGACCGCAACCGCACCAGGGACTCTATCTGGTACCACGTCGTCCTTGACATATGAACTTTTTAAGACATTTTTGACATCCTGGTGATGGTGAGGCTATTGTTGTCAATTATCTTACAATTATCTGCGTAACACTTTTATTCTTTTGGTGGCCTTCACCATTTAAGCACCAAATCCCCACTTCACTTACGCTCTGGTCTGTGTTAAGGCATCTTAAAAATTAGATTTGAATGAAACCTGAACATTCCTTGTCCCCAGAGGATGATTCTGAATGATTTGTGGTGACTCCCTGACCTTTTCATTTGGCAATGACATTAATTAGGCACATTCATGCTTCTCAGAGGATGAACCTCCATATTGAAAACTTCCAAAAACCAAAACCTCAAGATATTTCATAACTAATCAGATTTGTTTGACACCTTCAGGCTTGATTTTAATGACCTAATTTAGAAAGAACTTGTAAAACTATGAGGATGACAAGTTTAGATAATGATTCATATCATTCCTCATAACTTCCTGGTAATATGTAAACAAATGTTTGTGGTTGTCAGGAACTACCACTGCTGGAATGAGTGCTACATGTCCAGGCCAGATCTCCCTCTTGGCTTTGGAGGTTGGCAAGTTGTGGATTCGACACCACAGGAGACCAGTGATGGTACATGAGGATGAAATATCTGCTGGCTGTAAATACAGTGCACTGATGATCAGTTTTTAAACTCTTCCATGATTCATTCAGGCATGTACAGGTGTGGTCCTGCCTCAGTCCAGGCCATCAAACATGGGCAGATTTGCTTCCCGTTCGATGCTGCCTTTGTCTTTGCTGAGGTGAGTCTGCTGTAAATTCACGCTGAATCCGCAGTTCTCTTTGCCGGGTGAACCTGAGGTTCTGTGGTGTCTCGCTGTTCTTCTCCCTACAGGTCAACAGCGACGTGGTGTTTTACAGCAGGAGGAAAGACGGGACCATGGATATAGTCAAAGTGAACCGCACTCACGTCGGCCGCATGGTGTTGACCAAAGCTCTTGGAGACATGACCCGTCGCGATATCACCGATCAGTACAAGTTCCCTGAAGGTCGGTGACACCGTCCCTTTGATTTTACCTGGAGCTGGTGCTTCATTTCAAGTCAAATATGGACACAAGTTTTTTAAACTGCTTAAAGCCCAAATCCTGGTTTGTTACTGGGAGAATAAGGAATAGTTTCTTCTCAAGTAAAAAAGTACTGATACTTCCAGATGATGATGATGAGGGAAGTAATCCTTTTGGACAGACTTTGATATTTTCCTTTCCCTCTACATTTATTTTAATCATCCAATATAGGCAGTGCAGAGGAGCGGACCGTCCTGGAGAAAGCAGAGGAGTACGGCTGCAAACGAGACAAGTCCGAGCTTCCCGTGGCCGACGTGGACCTGGTCCTGCCCACCATGGAGATCAGCGTGGGCGACAGCTTCGACCTGAGCCTGGAGTTTATCAACCGCAGTGACCAGCAGCGAACCGTGGACGCCTACATCAGCGGCAACGTGGTGTATTACACCGGAGTCACCAGCTCTGAGTTCCTGCTCAGGACTCCCACAGTGGAGATTGAACCCAACCAGAGTGAGTCCTCTACCTCAGAAATCTGGGAATCTTGGAAATGTTTTGCGCATGCTTTGGGTCATATACAGTGTGGATATAATAAAAAGGTCCATGCACTTAATAAGAAATAAATCATTGAAAAATCGATGCAGAGAGAGCAGCGTTGTGTTTTTTTCTTCTGCAGCTGTGAAGGAGTTGGTGGACGTCCAGTCAAAGAAGTACATGAAGCATCTGGTTGAACAGGCCAACCTTCACTTCATCGTTACTGGGAAGGTTCAGGAGACCGGCCAGATCATCACCGCCATGAAAGTGGTCACCCTGCACAACCCCAAACTCGTCGTTGAGGTCTGGAATAATACGTTTTCACACAAATCAATGTGGTGGTCCATTTTATTTTACTTTCTGAGCCAAAAATTTTTTTTTTTTTTCTTGAAGGTTGAATTTGTTGAATTGTTTATGTTTGTTATTTGTTCCTGTGTGTTCTTCAGGTAACTGGCGGAGGCAGAGTCCATGAAGAGATGATGGCGACCGTCCAGTTTACAAACCCCTTCACCTTCAGCCTGGAGAGAGTCTACATTCGCATGGAAGGACCCGGGATCATGGCGCTCAAGTCCAAATATTACAGGTGAGCTCTCAGGGCCAAGCCACAACATATCTGAGTGCAAGTGTAAACTTTGAGCGAAAGCAGAACAAATCTAAGCAGGGGCTAGCTGAGTGTTAAAAATCTTTTCAATGTGAGTTATGGAACAGATGCATTTCATTCACAATTTAATTTCCTGGGAAAAACCCCAAAGAATAAAAACGTGAAATGCTAAGACAGCAGTGTGAATTTCATTATTAAAATGTCCTTTTCTTTGCAGACACATAAATGTAGTAAAGTGATGAGTCTGCTGTTATAAAACATTGTTTTACATCTCTGTTCCTTGTTTTGATTTACGGTAATAATGACACACACTGACGTTCCCTGGTTTTTAGTCTGATCCCAGCAGGCTCCTCTCTGACCTGGACCGAGTATTTCACCCCGCAGAGAAGCGGCTCCACCAGAGTGATCGTCACCCTGGACTGTCCCGCTCTCAGGCAGGTCTTCGGCAAGGCGTCCGTCACTATCAAGCCCTGAGGGACGCTACAGAATCTCCAATGTCCCACATCATTTAACTCGCCTGCGCTTTAGCCAGAATATACACATATAATATAGACTGTAGGTCTACAACAGGTAGCATTTATAACACAATGGGGTAATTCAAATAGAAACAAGACAGTGATGCAATTTCTTTTATATGATACAAAGATCCACAAAACATGTGATCTCATTTTGAATTTAGTCTTTTTGACCACATGATAGCTCAAATGTTTTCAAATGAGGATTGTTTCTAATGTAAAGCTGCAGTAATCAGGTTATCAGAGATATGTTATGATCTTTATAATTCGATAAAGCGTTAGCAAACAATGCCCACCTCAAAGTCCAGCAGTAACAGAACAACTCCACTGGAGCTGTTTTATGGTTTTTAACTTGTTTAAAAGAGTCTCCACCAACTCTTCCTGCTGCTCATAGAAACATTGGTGACTTGAGACAATACTGAGCTAAATATTAAATGTTCCATTAAAAATGATGAGCTAAAAAATCTCAAAAACTCAGTTGGGTGATATTTGTCTGTGAATATTAGCAACCAAATCGCGATGCTATGTTCAAATTTCATTTACAGAATACTAATTAATGCAGCTTGAACTTTCCACTTGAAAATGTAGCCCCGCGATGCAACAACACTTCGATTTAAACTGTTTAATTTCAATAACTGTTCTGACAAGTCTTTATATGAACGTGTACAAGAACAAATGCAACCATCAAAATAAAATTAAACATCAACAACTGCATGGTGTTGTGACATGTTCCCAATGACTGTGCATATGTGCAAGTTGTCGTGTTGCCTTTTTTACTTCATAAGAAGGGACATATGAAACCTCACAGTGATTTGACACGTTTTAAAAATTAGATTCGTACATAAACTATAGCTTTAAAAATCTAAATCATTCATCATAATTCATCACTCATCTCAAAAAACAAGGCACAGTTTATTGTAGCAGCTGAAGAACTCTTGGTTCACTCAGAGCTTTTACTTTGGAATGGCAGGAAATGTTCCGTAAAATGTCCAGAGAAACAGACATGTCGAACATTTGTGTTCTGCAGAGAATTTCAGGAAAATGTCCAAGAAGCAGCTTAAAGATAAAGTGCATAGAATTTAATGATATCAAGTTGCGTGTTGCAGCTGAACAGCCCTCACCTCACCCTTTCCTTCTAAACATAGTAATTTAGATGAAATGAACAAGTGAAAACATCATGAGAATTATTCTGCATTCGATTTCTGCCAATAGATTCCTTTCACCTACTGGACCTTTAAATCTGATCTAAATTTACTTGCAAACTATTTTACTTTTTTCTGAACTTGCTCATTATTCTACAGTTAAAAAATGCAAAATGCAAAAACTTTCCCTCGCAGTCATTTGAAGGTGATGAGGTAGTCCGGGTATGCTTGGTTGTCATGGAACACAACGTACATGCTGGGGTTGTTCATTCTATCCACCACGCTGTCGTAGCGGTCATGTGGCTGCTGGCTGTCGCGTGGAGGAGGCACCTTCATTTCACTTTTGCCCTCAGTGTAGATGCCCGTCAGGACTCGAGCCACAAAAATTAGTTGTGAGCCCACGGCGTTTGGCTTGGCGTAGGTGGGGTGGGCTGAGTAGTTGGCGTTTACTGCAAAGTAGGTCCCATGACCATACGAAGTTGCTGAGGGTAAGAGAGAACATGGACTTAACAACAAATACCTCATAGCTGAAGAATAGCACGGACACAATGGATGAAATGACAGCCTCCTAAAAGTGAAGGAGGATTTCCCCCTAGTGGCTGATCACAAATGTTGTCAAAAACGGAATAAATGACAGTAAGCAGATACATTTCACTGCCGGTGACATTGTTTACGCTGCTAAAGCAATGGGTCTGAAAACATCATCACCGTTTTGTCCAGCAAATCTTCGGTTGAACCCTGTTTTCATGATGGCGTCACAGTTGTCCTGGGTCGTCCCGTGGTACAGAAGCTTTTCACATGCACCGCCCACGTCTGCATTCTTATCAGAAATGCGTTTCTTCTGTGCTTCATAGGCCCGACGCAGGTGGACATTCTGCAAACGCTCGATCTTAATAAAATAAACAGAAAAATACCAGTATTGTGAAAATAACGAGCTTCCAATAACGTGAAGTAAAGGTTAAGTTACCTACATATAAATGTACATGATGAAAAGATAAAAAACTAGTGAAAGCTACCTTCATTATGGTTTTGGGGGCAGTTCGTGTGAAAGCCTCCTTCACTGATCGGTACTCTGCGGAGGACGTCAGCAGAGTAACCACCTTCATGACCTCCCCAGCAGCCATGCTGTCCCAGTTCAGTGGGAGAGTGAAGTCTGGAAAATTTAAAATGTTATTTATTTAATTTTCAATCAAAACACTTTCATGAAATAGGGTTCGCTGAAACTCATTTTCCTCCTCTCACCCGGCAGGTTCTCAAGTCGTTTTAATTTTCTTATCTGCGGTCCTGTGGCCTCCATCCTCTGTAGATCCACAGTCCACCGGTTGTTCTGTGCATCCATTATGCCTCCTGCTATGTTGTTATGTTCCAGATTGTGATTGGCTGTTTTGGGGAGTCTCTCCCAGTAGCCGTTACTTCCCAGGATGCACCAGGCCACACGAGTGTGCAAATCCTCCTCCTCCCTTACTCTTACCTGTCTCCTGAGGTTGTCGTGCAGAGACACGTTAATTAACTGCATCACATGGTTCACCCCATCTTTTAACCCGCTCACAGTCATGCTGCCCTGGTCAGACTGAATGAGCAGACCCTCCATCTCCACCAGCTTCTCCAGACACATTATGTTGTCCGCCGAGAGGCTTCCCACCTCCTCGGCCGTGAAGGTATGTGTGAAGCACTGAGACTGATACAGTTGCTTCAGCTCCGTCATGGCCTTTCTGATGTCCGTACTAGAAAGACCCAGGAACAGGAAGCCAGACTGCTGATTCTTGAAGCTGGTACGGAGGATACTTGGGTTTGGGGTCACGGAGCTTTGTGGATTGTTTTGTTGAGGCACTGTCACTGCGGGAATCAAAAATCAATATCAAAACAACGATAGGAAACTAGAATCACTCGTCATTTGTTCATGTTCAACAGGCCAAAAACATGTTGTGTGAGGCCACTGTGACCTTGTCCATTAGACTTTGGCCTCCAAATTCAAATTTTGTCATCCTTGAATCCAGATAAGCTGACAGCATAATACCTCGGGCCACTAGCTGTCAGATTTCTAAACACCAAGAAAAGATGATAGCTGTTTCTGAAAGTTCTTGTCACCTCTGTTGAGCACATCAGTGGGAAACACCTGCGTCGCCTCCTCTTTGAAAGGCAAGAAGACTTTGATCTTAATCAGGATGAGGCGGATGTCAGTGACGCAGCGTAGGGGAGCGAGCGATGCAGCAGTTTTGACTCCTTGGAGAATAGCCTGTGCTACGACAGCAGCATCCATCTTACCTTGTCCTGCACAAAGAGGTGCGTTAACCAACACAGAGATTAAAAACAATTAAATTAAACTGACGATTAGACTGTTGCATTGTCTGGAACAATATTTACCGGCACAGATGGCAGGAATGGCTATGGACTTGTATCCAGAGGACTCACAATGTAGGATCATGTTGCACACCAGACTCCCAATGACGCCTGCGTCTCTTTGCCCATTCACATGTAAAATGGCTTTGCAAGGGAATGAGCCAGGCTCAGTCTGAAAAAATTTTCCTCTCATCACTTGCGCTGCACATAACACAAAGAAAGAGACAAAATGACTTAGAGGCTGTTAGATGTATGTTTCATGGAAATGAACTGATCTTTATTCACCTGCTTTGACGTTGGCCGTCACCAATGGTCCAGCTACAGTTAGAATGTCTTTGCAAACACCAACTGTAGAAAAAATATTCATGATTTGTGAAATTGTAATTAATGTTTAAATGTTTTGCTGTAAATGAAAACTTTGACCTATGGGTGACTCTAATAAAAGTAAGTAAGATTAATTTTCAGGACACAAATAACTGCAACTTATTTCAGGACAATCCATCTGATAAATCACTCAAATATTTCTGTCAGTGGACAGTGGACTTTCAAAAAGACACTCCCGTAAAAATGACTTTACGACAACAGCACGTTCCTGGTCACTCCTATATGCATCAGCAGCTTTCACCTACCGTCGGGAAAATTCTGGAAGTCGGTCGAGTTCACAATTGCATCTGTAGTCTCATTAGTGATGTCACCGAACACCACGTGTAGTCTGACCCCAGCTCCGACCGTCACAGTGACGTCATCGAGGTCACTGATGAGGGGTCCGAAGTGTACTGAGAGGAAATAAAACCACATTATTCATATTTGTTTGGGATTTTATCTAATAGTTAATTTAAGTAAATGGTTTCCTTGCTGTATTAGGTGTCAGGTTTACCTTGGCCTCCCTGGTTCACATTTAAGCTGAGGTGTCTGTAGACATCATGGTAGCACTGTAAATAAATATATATTTGATATTAAAACACTTTCTCAGCAGTAAAACATGCATGTGTCTTACAAATAGTCAAAGTGTCAATCGTCACCTCCTCAGAGTCTGGATAACCAGGTTTAACGACGACATGAATGGTGGAGAGTGAACCGTTGAGTCTCGATGATCCAAAATGGCAAATGCTGTCAGTTAGAGCTTCAATGGCGGCAGAGAGCGGGAATTTTAACACAAGTCCAGGTCCAATCACAGGAAACGCGACTGAACTCAATTCCTGCTGCACACAGAGGTCCAAACATCTCTTCAGCCCATTTTTCAGAGCCTGGGACAGAAAGAGTTGATTAGATTTTGTAGAGCAGGATAAGGAGCACAGACAACACCTCGTAGAAACAAGTTTGTTTAAATCACTGGCTGCAAGTTTACAAATGTCATCGTCAATACCTTTGGATTTTGGTCAACTATTTTCATTCTTAACTTTTCCCCTGTTGCATCCACCTCAATGCACGTAAGTCAGGAATGTTGAATTTCAATCCAATCTTTAGCCCTCATCCATAAAGTTATTTTTCTTGTTACCTGCACACTCTGGCCTCTGACCCCATCCCAGGGCAAACACTCAATGAAGAAGAGCTTGGTGCAGCCAAGAGATGCAGGCCCGGTGACCTGCAGGACATCTCCAGGGTTGACGATACAATTTGCAGCAGCGGAGTCAAACTTCGGCTGCATTGTGTTCCCTGCTTTAGTCACCAGATCGCTGCCCATTTTAGTTGAAGTCAGCTGTTTTTTGAGCATGGGAACCACCAACACGTTCACCTGTGGAAAAAGGGGACATATCGTGACTGTGTAGTGTTGCATTGCTGCTTTATTAGCTGAGGTAAAGTAGAATGGAATAAAATAGTCAAACCTGTTGATCCTCCAAAGAGCCAATTTTTATCTTCAGGTTTGTTTTGTTAGCTGCAATGTTCTCGACAGGGCTGTTGCTCAGTCTGGTGAGGGAAGGCCTGGGTGTGAAGCTGGGGACTGGGCTGCTGATGCTCAGTGAGTTAATTGGTACATCCGGGGAGTTCACACCTCGACGTTCCCTGATAAGGACCTGACAGGAACTCTGTATGAAATCTTTGCTTATTTTTCCCTCTGCCTGAAAGTACTTCTGAGCCCCTGGTCCGTCTAGGACTAGTGTGTCTGATGTCAGGCAGGACAGAGCTGAGTTTAGGGCCTGCTGCGCCTCCTCCACGTGACAACGGGGACCGGACAGAAGCACACGAGGACGTGGGGAAGTTGAGGTTTCTGTCGTCACGTTTGTCTGTTTCAAGCCAATCAGGACAAAAAATTCATCCAAACAGTCAACCAGTTCAGGATACGGTAGGTTCACATCTTGTTGTATGTGGGCCTGGTTCGTCTGGTAGTCACAAAGAACCTCCTGCAGCCTGTTCACATTTTCACTGTAGCCCACCAGTCGAGCTTCCATCATTGTGGTTCCACCTGGGATGAAGCTCACATCCACTCTGAATTCTCGACAGTTTGCTACGTTCTTGGATGCGCTGAGGATTTCCTTTACTCGGCCCAGATCTGGGGTTCCAGCTGCAGCGCCCTGCAGCTTCACAGTCTTCACAGTCAGGTCTCTCTTCACTGCTGCTTCAGCCTCGTCCATGGCTTCAGAGGACAAACTGGACAAAACCAGATCCGACTCCACCTCCAGGGAAACAGGATTTCTCAAGCTCTGCTGGAAGCGAGTCTCGTACTTGGAGATTGCGCCGCTAGATTTTATGAAGGCTATCAAATCCAAAGGGAGAGAAACTCTTTTTACCAACACCTTCTTCATCAGTTCATCAAGTTTTGTAGCCCCAGACTGCACCTCCTTGTCAACTCCCTCCATGACGAGCATGTTACTACGTCTGCGGATTTTAACTTCTGGGTAATGCGTAGACATTTCCCGAACTAACTCTGCCTCTACCAGTTTGAATTTCTTGTCCACAATTGGCAGTTCCCTCCAGGTAGGCAGGCTCTTCTCCAGGTTTGCGATCATCTCCTTCACAGCCTCAGTTTCCCCCACAACCACAGAATAACCGATCTCTCTGTACACTTTGATATCATCGGTTACAGAACAGACGTCCTGCTGTAGCATTTTGACTTGTTTTGGGTCAAACACATGATAGCAGAGGTAGGTCTCAATGAGACTGATAAAAACCCGATCCACTTGTATCTCCCACATCTCTGCAGCCTCAAAAGCTCCTCCTGGCCGCTTCTCAATATCCCCCCGGACCACTGCCTCCTCTTCATCGAAATTGAAATCCACTGTGCAGCTGATAGACGAGAGTTGTTTCTGGAGTACTTTGTATGCTTTGGGGTTGTCTCTCAGGTACTGAAGAAGGTAAATATCTATCTTGAAAATCTTCTCGAGGCCTTTTGTGTTTGATTTTGTAAACGTCTAAAGAAGGAAAGCAACACCAAAGAAACCCATGAGTTTATAAAAGATCATATGAAAAATTGTTTACAGCACTCAGCACAAGCGTGAATATTGATTATAAGGTGTTTACGCTGCTCGGGGAATCCCATCAAACTGGTTGGGCCACATCACATGGCTCAGATGACGCAGTGTTTACTCTGATCATGACATCTGCAGATGAGGTTTCAAAGGGGTTATATTAAGCTCACCCGTGTCGATGGCTGTTCGGGGTTCTGAGGTGAATCGGTTCGGCTCATGGTCAGTTGTTGTTCTCCAGAAGGTAGAGACACAGTATGAAACTTCCTCTGCAACACTCTTTCCTGGTCTGTGAAGTCCAACATCACAACAAAACACCTGCGTCTCAGCTTAAAGGTCCAGTGTGTAAGATTTAGGTGAAAGGGAACTACTGGCAGAAATTTAATGCAGAATAATCCTCATTATGTTTTCACTTGTTCGTTTCATCTAAATTGTACAAATTATAGTTTTCTTTACCCTAGAAAAAAGACCATTTATATTTAAATACTTTATATTTTTATATCTCTACAGGGGCCGCCCTGGTTTTTACATTATTCCAGACTGGACAAACTAAACATCTTTTGAGTTTTATGAAAACTGAAGCTACTGTAACCAATGATCGGTGATTCTCTGGATAAACTGGTCTAGTGTTTACTTTGCGTTATGTGTGTGTTGTGTTTTTTCTTTTTAAAATGATGAGTGAAACATGTTCCCAGTTCAGAGGAATTTTATTCTTCTTCTCAGTGTTCAGAGCCAGTCTCTACCTGACTGGAACCACACCTCACACCTGGAAGTCTCTCTCACACAAAAACCACACCCCATCACTACAGCGCCACCCAGTGGAGGCACTCCGGGGTACATATATATATATATATAGAGAGAGAGAGAGAGAGAGCAAGTGGAATATCACCAGATAAACCCTGTTACACAACCACATTTTATTTTTCATGTTTGGAAGGGGAGGGTGAGGTGAGGGCTGTTCAGCTGCAACATGTTACTTCAACACTCGATATCACTGAATTCTACACACTGAACCTTTAAACTGCAAAGTTTGTCCGACAAATAGTTCATTTTAAGACAAAGTGGTTCCTCACCTTCTTTATCCTTGAAGCAGATTTTGTAGACACCCCCTCCGACGGCTTGAATTGCTGCACAGTCACCTCCCCCAGAAACTCGTCTTTTCTGAAAGTAACACCTGACTTTGTTCAGCTCTCTGTCCGTCACTTCTTTGGCTTCAAAGAACAATGGATATTGATATTCATCCATTTTAAACTACAACTTTAAACACCGGAGTAGCTATCGCTCGTCTCTTTAACTCACAGCACTGACCGATACTAACTTTAATGCTTTCACTTTCACTTTTACTTATGTTTCCTTTTGCAAATGAACCTTATGAACACACCCCAGTGTGGAACTTGCCCGTTTGTCCTGTTGAGCAGATACTATGAGGTCATTGTGATCATTGCATTGATTATGACATTGATTTATGGTGTAATGATTTTTTTTTTCCACAAGTGACGACGACGACGATGATGATGATGATGATGATGATGATGATGATGTTGATGATGATGTTGAATTGGAAATTCAATCAATTCCCTATGTTTTGATTTCACCATTGAATAAATACAAATCAAAAACAAAGATATATTTTTGTTTATACACGGGAGAAGTTGTGGTGTGAACCTGACGTCCTGCAGCAGTACCACAGCAGGCCACTAGATGTCACACTAGTGCTATTGCCGATGTAAAAGATATACAACCTCATCTGAATAAAACTGTTAATGGGCTTTAAAACTACAACCAGAGGAGTCCAAAGCTTCACAGAGCAGCAGAGAGGGGTGATATTTGTGTGTTTCACCACTATTAACTATTTTCAGGTTCCGTGCAGGATTTGGATTCAATGTCACAGTTTAATTATACAGAAATATTGATTCATTGAACTGTCCAAAGGGTCACTTGGACTCACCAGGACAGAGAGCACTTATAGGGTTGAACAGGCCAAGGGGTCATTCTGTTCGAGGGAGACGTGCAAAGGGGAACTTGGGTTGACCACAGGGAACATGCAGTAAACAGTGGGGCCGTTGGGAGCAAGCCAGGGGCACTTAATGCTGACTACAGGTGCCCATCAGATGACCACAGGGGCACTAGAGGAGTTGGGAAACTGCTCAATCACGAGATGCCTCAGTTAGAGAAGTTCTCAGAGACGATGCTGTGATTTCCCTTTTATTCTGAGCCACATGCCTGGAAGTACGAGCTGTGTTTACAAGTGATATAGAGTACTACGCTAAAAAATGTCACGAGTGGCGTCACGTTTTAAGATAAGATTAGAAACGTTGCCGGTTCAAATGAAAACTTTAAGTCCCTGATCATGAGCATGAGTGTTGATGTTTAAATAAATACAGAATCCCAGAGGACAGACAAATGTACATAAAAGCATTTATTTGGAATCTCTGAGATGGACAAACAAAATGCTGGTATCAACAAATACAGACCTTTTGATATTTTACGATATTACATTGCTGTGTCTGCGCATGAGCAGAATCATTTATGTGCACGTGTACCAGACTCTCCTAAATCTAAATTGTAAAAAAAAACTGCAATAAATGTTGTATTAAACTGTAGAAAGAGAGAGACACTTTCATTTTATTTTGTTTTAGGTACCATCATCTTTTCAGAAAGAATTAGGATTTTGCAGATTTATACTGTAAAACATAACTTCACTTCTCACAGTTATGTGGAGTCATGATGACCCACATTCACGACTCTAACGTCTGATGAACACACATGTTTTCAGTCATGGGGAGCTGAGTGTCTCAAGATATGTGATTGAGTTTTCACCACAATTTGACTGTGGTTTCTTTCTGTCTGCTTCTAAATGCAGTTGTCTGTCTTTTTGTCTCAAAAGTCAGATGATGTCACCCGGTGCATTAATACCAGTAAATAAAGTAAATCTTAGGAAAATGATACAAGATTAAAATGATGAAGATGAAGAGAAAATAAACGGTGTTTTGGTTTTAATCCTGATGGATGCAAATTATTTTCACACATTACAAACTGAAAGATGTTTATGTCTTTTGTTAGTTCAAGCTTTTGGACTTTTGATTAATCTTGTTTTGACTTTTGGTTTATTTCTGTGAAACTTTGTGCTGCATTCATTTTTAAATGTATATTTATATTTGTGATGAGTCATATCTGTTTGCCTTTAGAATCTGTCAGTTCCCGTTTTATTTTGAAGCTCCTTTCCTTGAGTGTCTGTCTCTTGCCTGACTTCCTGTCTTTGTCTCATTACCTGCTCAGATGTGTCACACCTGAAGTGAATAATCTCTACTTCCTGTTTGTGTAAAGTCTCCTCACTCTCCTCTCCTCAGTTAGATTGTTCACATGTTGCGTTTCTCTGTGCTTCAGCTCTGCTCTCTGTTGCTTTTTTTGTTTTCTGGAGTTATTTGAATTTGGATCTTCTCGTTGGTTTGCCTGCCTCCTGCCAACTAAACCGTAAGCCTGCTTTTAAATCCACCATCTCCTGTACCTGCCAACAGTCGGTCTGCTAAAAACTACACATTCAACTGTAATCATGTTGGTAAACGAACAGTAAGTCACCTTTAAGCTCTGTTTTGGTCTCAACCCCTGGGAGGTTTTCACCAGCTGCTCTCTAACCTTAAGTGTCTGCTGTTTGAATGAATTCATTTTGGCTGAACGGCCACATGTCGATCAGTGAGAGTGAACCAAGACGTTGCAGCCGACGGCTCAAAGACCAAAACCAAAGCTTTTAATATATGAAATCAATTCATCTTCTCTCCTCACAACCATCTGTCAACCCCCAGAAGTGATGTCATGAACCCCGGGTGGAGAATTCTGGGCTGAGGCTACAGAAATGATTGTTGCTCTAAAACTCAATAAATAAATGAATAGTGACCATTAAAGCAGAAAATAAAGAAAACTGTGTGATGGAACAGTAGTGACGTATTTAACATAGTAACTGTATTGTACTGTATGTAAAAGGTCAGAATGAGGCCCCAGGGATAATCTATGAACACTACCTCACAGAATCATTTGCACTGTAGCCACAGGTGAAACTCTACTTGTTTACAAAACTGTGTCTGATGATCATTTTATCAGTTTCCTCTTTTACATGGGGGGGTGCATGCAGCGATGACTTCTTCTGCAGAAGTGAAGCTGTCAGACGTTCAGACAGAAACTCTCTGATCCTCTGTTATGATTAATATCTGTGTCCGCTGACTGTTGTGTGTGTGAACCTCAGTGTGGCCTGTGGTCGGTCCCTGAACTCACCATCCCATGACTACCTTCTGCTGCACACGAGAACACAACATACTGAAACAGAAAGACACAAAAAAAACATTCAAAATCTCAAAGGAGCACATGATCACTGACTGTATAAATATCACAGTGCAGATGTGTGAGAGGTCACAACAGCTGCACAACATTTGTCTGTAGTTGAGGACTAAAGCATCAGGTTAAAGAAGATGAGGTTCTGCATCCTGTTCATGGCTCTGACGCTGTTCGCTCTCAGTGACGGTAAGAAGCTCACGACCACACGTTTCTGACAATCTGAAGTTGATGTTGATGGAGAGGTGATCTACCATTGTTTTTTTTGTTACTTTAGAGAAAAGTGCACTATGTGAGAATTTGAAAGCAAAAATTCACTGTTTCAGATTTGCATTGCAAGTTTTTAAAGTGTTATCCCAAATTTCTGGTACCCGATCATTTCTATTTATTTCCCTGCAAAATGAAAATCACTTTGCAGAGACTCAAACTTGCTTCTGTTCCATCATGTCCTCTTTTATTTTAGTCTAAATTAAATTACTGTTGCATGATTTTTGGTGCAGAATAATTTGAAATCTATGGTTTGCAATGCTACTGACAATAATGTCCCTTATGCAAGTTTTTTTAAACATGATTTCCATATTTTAGTGAAACAAAAAGCAGGAGGGATGGAAAGCAGTCGCTGCTTGGCAAGCAGGAAAATGTTTCTTGTTTTCTGTCGGCCGATCTGCATTTATGTTTGCTGATATAAAAGGTTTTGTTTTCAGAATCAACAATGCAGAAAGATGTGCGTAAAGTTTAAGGTTAAATTATAAACTATCATGCCTCAATTACAGACGAGAGTTTGTTAACGACATATTAGGAACTATTGCAAATTATTCTTCAGTGCATATATGAGCCCATATATTGTTTCATTGTGTATTCATGTCTCTCAGCCTGATTCAGTAATGACTGTAATGATTAGTTTTGAATAGGAAGAGAGTTAGTGGAGAAAATGTGGAAGTACCGATTATAAAGATGTCACAATACTGTGACTGTTGTGAAATCACTCAGATGAAAGTGGCCTCGTCATTGTTGGATTCCTGAATTAGCAGCCGTGCAACATCGTGATGACGAGGCAGAAAACTCCGACCTTCCAATGTGATATCTTCTGGAGTTTAACTTTATTTTCATTCACAAAAAGAAACAGACGCCTGAACTGACAGAGTGTCTTCTGTCTGATTGTGTGTTGACAGGGATGCCGCCCCTCAGCAGGGACTACAACTCCCACTGTCGCTGCGTGGAGGTGGAGTCGAGGATCATCCCTCCAGACAACCTGCGGAGCATCAAGCTCTTCCCTGAAGGACCTCACTGCCCAGACACCGAAGTCATGTGAGTGGAAACAGAATAGAATGAATTGATTGCTTATAATGGTGTGAAAACAAAATTCAGTTTCCTGACTAATTCATTTATCATCAGATGTTTTGCTAATTTCCCAAATAAAATAAACACCAACATAAAATCGATTACAGTGTTGTGGTGTCTGTGTTAAACATGTCTCGTCTTTCATTTTGATGAATGATCAGAGCTGGACTGGCGAGCGGCGAGAAGGTCTGTCTGAACCCTCGGTCCTCGTGGGTGAAGAAGCTGATCAAGTACGTTCTTGAGAAACAGCTGCATCAGCAGGGAGCAGCGTTCGCCAAGAATCAAGCATAAAAACTAAAATGTTGCTTCTTTTTCTACCTCCCTCCTGCAACAATGAGCCCTGCTCTTTTTACTTTAAAGATTAATACACAACACAGTATATAACGTCTACTCTTTGTCTTTTGGTTTTAAGTCTTTGTGTTTTTCCGTTGTTGAATTTGTATTGAATTTCTACTTTTTATACATATTTTCTAAATAACACTGATTCTGGATTTAAAGACACAAGAAATAAACTGTCGTTACGTTCAAATGGAAAGAAGGAAACCAGCTGTGATGTTTGAGTGGATAAAGCATCTGAGTATAACTAATTTTGAAACTTTTTAAATAACAAGTTGCCTTTGATTTAAAAATTATAAATAAAATGTTTAAAAAGTAAAATGTGAGTCACGTCGTGTGTTCAGTCTCACGTCTGCCTTTGAATGTGAAGTTGTTTTATAAAGTACCTGGTGATAAATGTTGTAAAGTAGCTCGTGGTTAAATTTTAAACGAAGTCTGTGAGTCAAAGTCTTAGGTTGTTGATTTGTTTAATTTACAGGACGTATATTAAAGTGTAAAAAACACAATCACATTCACAGATTAAGATATTTTTGTGCATAGAACCACAGGAAGTACAGATCAAGCTGAGCTCAGAAAAAACATCAAAAACTAAATCAAGTGACTGTAGATTTGATCATCTCTGGTTTCTATGCTAACAGTAGCTCAGCAGCAGAAAGATGACGGACTTAAAATAACTAGAAAATAGCTGAAGTGTTGGAACCAGTGAATACACCCGCTGCTTGTCAAGTATTGTTTAGTTTCAGTGTTAAGAAAATGTGTCTGTGGGCTTGGGAACCGGAGGGTGGCCCATTCAAGTCCAGCATGGACGGAAGTTGTTAAATACAGATCATTGTCGAATCTTCTGTCAGGAGTCATCTGGTGCAACGACATAACCCTTCCCCCGGGGGAACCATGCCCGCAGCGCTTCCGTCCAGCTGCCCGTGTCACAGAAAGTCAACAAGATGTCGAACACTGAGGACGGAGAGAAACTTGGTCAACAACTAAACCTCCAACAGCAAAGCACGGTTAAATTCAACAGATCTGCACCAGATTATACAAACTTAAATATCAGTCCCCTAAACAAGATCAATGGATTATTTTCTCATCGTTAAATAAAGTGAAGTGAAATTAAGTTCAGGGACGTGCCCCTTGATCTGGATCTAGCTCAGGTAACAGAGATAAAACCCCACAGAGACCTCACCTTGATTCACCGCCAGGATCTTTGAGTGGAAATTCTTGGCGTTGTCTTTCTTCACCATGTGCTCGTCGATCGGCAGCCTCGCCGTGCAGACGCTCAGATCTCTGGCCCGACAGAAGCTCAACTTCTGCAGGTGAGAGAAACAATAATCAACACAATCATTAGCACACCAACCTTTTGTAACACAATAATCTAAACCAGCTGCAGTGATATTCTGTCATCAATAACAATGTGCTTTCCAGTTATACTGTATATTTGTGTATAATACCTTCTGGATGCTTTCATCCACAAGGCCACCGAGCACGTAAACCTTGTCAGCATCAACTGTCTCCAAAACTGAAATAACACAAGATTAAAAAAAGCCTTGGTGAAACAAACACACAAAAACATGATGATGCTAAAATGAATGTAGTAGTTTTCTCATAAAAAATGTAATGTGTCTTTATTCTCACAGCCACTGTTTGTCTGAGTTTAATACTTTACACCAGAGGGAGACTCGTGAATCTTCAAAGACCTTTTTAAAAAACGTAAATTTTATCTTCTTATTATAGTTTTCTCTTTGGACAAATGAGAGTAGTCGATTGGCTCCCCCTGCTGGCCAAAAGATGCATTACACCCCCCCACCTTGCTGAATAGTTTTGAACTAAAAAAACTGAGTAAAATCCACTTGAAACCTTCAAACCTTCTTCAGCGTCTGGAGAGAGGTACACAACAGTTTCTGTGGGAAAAAGGTCCAGACAGCTTTCCTCTGTTATGTCCATCTGAAACAAGAAGACAGAAAGAGAAAGTAGGTCGAGTCTGTTGCTAAATATAAAATCTATTCCAGGTCCAGGTGAAAGGGAAGTGAGTGAAACTTGATCGTTACAGTTCCGATAAACATCAGAGCATCATGTAATTGATGGATGTTGCTGTTGGAAGATTTTAAAACTTTACCCTGTTAACAATATAATGAATCTACAACAAAAAAAAGTTTTTTCGGCCTTCTTATGTTGTTTAGTGTTTCATCTGGATGTTACAGTCTTTGTACATTTAATGTTTTCTGTTTGGGGATAAAAGATAAGAATATATAAAGAAAACCCTGCAGCACGCCGGTGTCCTGTCCAGGGTCTAACCCACCTCTCCACTGGCCCCTGCCCCATTCATGCCTCAAAGAATAAGCTGTGTCGATAATGGATGAATGGACGGATGTGAATTGCAACACCCACCGTGTAGTTGAGGAAGCCGTCGTTCTTTCGTATGCACTCTCTGTAGAGACGACTGTCCTCTCTGAGCTCTGTCAGGAACACGTGAAACGGTCGAGCTGCCTTCTTGTTCGAGCCGTACAGTCGTCTCAACTGTCCGGCCAGTCGGCTGATCTCCTGACACACACAAAGAAAAGGGTGAGTGAACAAAAACAGGATGTTTGAGAATCAGCGACGCCTCCTCCTCCTCCGACACCGACCTTGTCAGACATGCAGTCGGTCATGCTCAGGTCCACACACACTTTGAGCCCGGTGGACTGAGCCTCAGCTAAACGCTCTTTGGTGATCGCCTTCAAGACCCGTTTAGTGAACTGAGGGCTGTCGGCGCTGGCACCTGCACAACAGACAACACAGACGCTCTGATTGTAGAAGAAGGGAAATAAAGTAAAAACAAACTGTTGGATCCTTTCCTCCGGTTCTTTACCTGACTCCTGCTCACGGTTGAGCTTCTTCCTCTGCTTTTCCTCCTTCCTCCTGCTCTTCTTCGCTGCGAGCTGCCTCTCCCAGTTTCTCTGCTTCCTCGACACATTCCTCTGTTTATCACACGAAGATCGATGAGAGGTTCACAGCTGAATGTTTAAACAGTAATTCAGGGATCTTGATGATTAAATACGTGTTTGGGGGACTTGTGTCTATAAGTGTGTGATTTGGTGCCGCTCACTGAACACAGAGCATCTTCTCTCCCAGGTCTGTCCTCCGTCACATCGGCCTCCACGTCGATGTGAAGCAGATCCATCAGCTCTGAGGCTCCGTTCAGCTGCATGTGAGACACTTCGGAGGGAACAGCGGCCATTTGTGTGTCCTGCTCCGGATCATGTCCCACACGTCACCTGGAAATCCAACAGAACACATCGTCTTCTTCTGTGGTGTCTTCCTTTGAGGCGCCGGAAGTCCAGCCGAAGCAGAATAAAGGCAGAAAAAGAAGAAAAACAAACCTGAGCGAGAGGAAGGGGTCGCGTGGGAGCGGCGCACGTTTGTGACGTCAAGGTAAACAGAGCGGATGAGGGCGGGGACAAGGAGGTGAGTTTTAATCAGACAAAAATCACGTGTTTAGTATTTGTTGTTATTTATTTGATGTATTAATATAGAATAAACCGCACTGTTGTAGTATGTAGGTATAATATATATAATATATATATATTATGCTGGAATTCAGTAACTGTTGCTTTATTTGATTAACTTCAAACGAGTAAGGAAGTATTTGAAGTACTTCATACGTTTTTTAAATATATTCTTAGTTTTCACAATTTTGATTAAAACTAAAACATAAAAAAATCTCATATCATGTCGCAATATTTAGTTTGAATTGGAACTATCGCCAAACGCTGTTTCTAGTCGGCCGTTTAAAAAAGTGGCGCACTGCCGGTCACATATTAGCCTATTTCTTAACGTTAACTTCTAGTTTTCTCGATTTCTCTTCCGTAACATCAATCCCGTTAAAGTTCATCTCACACCTTGTGTCAGATCCTTTATGTGAGTACTTATATCGTAAAGATTGTGTAACGTCTTATTTATAAAAACACGAATTAGCCCTCAACTGATGTTAGCAAAGGAAGCTAACAAGCCGCCTCCTGGGTTCACAGCAGCCAATGAGAGTCAACGTAGGCGGGGCTGTGGCGCCGATCAGCATTGTGGGTAAACCGATTTAAGCACAATTCCAGATTGTTTTACTCTTAATTCGTCTTTAAATTGGAAACGGATTAAACACGTCGCTGTTTCATGCAGGATGCGTTTTGGATTCGCTGCAATTCACGTGTTGATACATATCGAGGAGCGTTTAAGGAAAATTACACCGTTTTTACAAACTTTTTATTTCTAATAAATCTGCATTATAAACATGAATCATCACTTGTATCCGCGGTCTGTGAGTACTGATGAAGTAGAAGTCAACAAATACTCTTTGTACACGTGGAGTCGCCCGCACCACGACAGAGAAGATATAGCTCTTCGTACTAATACTCAGACAGTACTTCCTCTAAGGTAAGACTGTACTTTCATACTCATTTCTGAAGAGTAATCTGTCAGAAATGACCCTGTGCAAAGTTCTGTCTCGCTAATTCACACTGAAAGTCGGCGAACCTCCTTCCTGAGTGGGATCCTGGTCAGCGTTTGATCTTCATCAAATAGCTTTGATCTCCCTCCTTGTTCTCAAAAGAGAACATGTACGGAAGGAGCAGTAACCGAGTGATTAGTGTCATTCTGTGAAGAGAAGTATCTTTGATTAACTCAAATGTAAAGTCAAAATGAAATCAATATGTAAAGTTATGTCCATTAAAGTTTTTCTTATTTCTGTAGTATCCCTCATAAATAGATCAGAGGATATCATGCGTGTGAGTGGATATTACTGCTTTAATGTAAATAAATGTAAACATTAAAGTCTTACCCATGCAGTATAAAAGATAGAAAACATGTACAGCTTGATAATATGTACAGTTAAGAAAGGTGAGTATTTCCAGTGACTTTAATATAACTGGATTCATTATGATTTCAATAAACATTCACATTTTTACTCATTATAACTGTACATTTATTTTAATCATACACCTTATGTTCATGAGGAACTCTTGATTTATCTCTTTTTTTAATTGTAATACTATTTTTACTTCCACCCAGTGCTGATTAATACTTTGATATTCATACATTGTTTATAACTGCTACTTATACACTATAGATAACAAATACATCGTAGATATAGATGTGGATATATTTATGATAGTATTTAGATGCCCAGACATGTTTTTTTTCCAGGAGGGGGGTTGTATAAGAAGTTTATTGCTTAGTATTTTCCATTAGTGGGAATATTAGTGTGGGGTTTCATGTTAAAGGACCGTTGCCAGGGATACACGTGATGTAGTACTATTATCCCCCCCCACACACGCTCTTGAATACTACACAGTTTTATGTGTTTTTTTAATGTGGGCTTGTCCTCGGAGCTTTTTGTTGGTTGCCCAGTGGGCGGGTTCTTCCTCCACCTGCCAAGAAAACCACTGGGACAAATTCCTCTGGTCCTGGAGAAACACTCAGAGCTCCAGACAGAAGAAGAAGAAGAAACTCCACAGGGTGGACTCTCACTGTGAATACTGATTTAATTGAGTATTGGTTGATTTCTCTGTGAGGTGCAGATCAGCCTGAATGCTGCAGCAGCTCCTCGGTTCAGAGGATTCTCACTGGGATCTAAATGGAGCGGGTTTTCTGCCACTGGACTTTTAAATCCACGAGTTAGTGGATTTAAAAGTGATGTTGATTTTGTGCCGCGACAACATGAAACACAAATGATGTTCAACGTTTCTATAGATGGAGGCTCATTCTCTAACAACTTGGAGGACTTCGACTCTATACGCAGTGTGCTCCTTTACAGGTCAGTCAACACACCACACTGTGTTACATAAGTACACACATATCAGTGTTCAATTAATTAATTAGTCTATTCATTGTGTTAATCCAAACACGTAGATAAGAAGACTGGGAACACGTAGAAAACTATGATGAAAACGTGTTCCACATGTTGGAAACTTATTTTTCTTCTTTCAAACGAACTAATAAAGTGGTGAGCTCGTGTCTGAGGAGGAAGTTTCACTGAATACCGGAGGGGATTTTAAAAAGAAACCTCGTGCATGGGAGGTGGAGGGGGGGGGGCGATTAATGAAGCAATAATAAACACGTGCAAATTTAAAACGAGATAACAGATTATTTGTTGCTCTAATTGTTAAGAATATCACCAGCAACTTTATTTGTATGTCTATGTGTGTTTGCAGTACTTTTACCGCGCGGGGTGTAAATAAAGATGTATGCATATTACTGCAATTATCATTATAAGTAGTAGTAGTCGCAGTAGTAGTAGTATTTCTCTGGTGTTTTCAGTATTCGCTGCATTATTTAACGCGGCGTCGCTTCGCGCTGCAAAGTCGTTCGCTCAGGAGCTTCCACGTTGTCAGGGGCAACCGCAGCGTCCGCCAATCAGATCAGGCGCCGCCGCGTCACGTGAGGCGCGTGAGAGTCGCCAACATGGCGACGCGGCGTCACGGTCCGTGTGGATAAAAGTTTGTCATGGAAATAAAAGCGTCTCTCGTCAAATAAAACCAAATGGCGAATGTTCCGCACGGTCCGCTTCTCTGTGGCCGGAACCCGGAAGGAGACGGTGCCGGGAACTACAGCGACCGCGAATCCACAGCGTCGAGCTCCAGCTGCTGCGACTCCTCAGAGTAAACCTCCATGTTTCTACATTCTCACACAAACACAGGGGGAACACGAAGTATTCAGACACTCCGGAGAAGATTGAGAACAAAGTTAATGTGACTAAATATTTCTCGAACACCAGCTTTCGTGTCTCGAGCCTTTCAAAGCTTTGGGGAAGTTTTTTTTAAATTTCTTTTTAAATTGGGAGGTAGACGTTCATAAATAATTGCAGGCTTCCTGTCATCCTTCAGGGAATTTATAGATGGCGTGTCAGAAGCTGCCCACCACAGGGTTGAAAGAAGAGAAACCAGAAATATCTGCCATTTCTTCCCACCCTGTTCGGTCAAACGCATGATTACAGTTTGTACGGATGGTAGCTTTGAGTGTTTGGCCATGTTGCTCTGACATTACAGTAAGAAAACAACTGTAATATCTCCCTCTATCAATCTGGAAACCTGTTGCTGGCATGGAACTAAACATCAGGGGTATTTATTCCCTCCAAGGACAGAAATTTATACTGTGAATGTAACGACAGGCAAGTGGAGCCATTCATTGTACATCATGGAAACAGATAAACAGAGTATTGCCACCATATCTATAAACATCACAGCTTTAGATTAGCTTGAGCTCTTCTTCTCGATCCTGTCTTCCCAGTTTTGTACCTTGCTTCTTTTCGCGTCTTAATGCTTAATGTTGGTTTTCTCTTCAGTGACTTGGAACCGGAATGGCTGGACGACATTCAGAAGAACGGCGAGCTCTTCTACCTGGAGCTGAGCGAGGGCGAGGAGGAGGCCGCGCTGGCCCAGGCCGATGCCAGTCAAGGTGTGTCCACTAATCACGTTCGCTTTAGCGAGAAGGAAGCAGAGATCATCACAGAGCAAAACAAGAAGCAGAGGTGCGGTTCTCGGGCCAAAGGCGAGCCCGCTCTCAAGAGGCTAGCCAGGATCCTGAGGAGAAAACGCCGGCCTTCGCAGCGCAGAGGAGGGAAGGATGCCGGCAAAGACAGCTCGGCTCTGTCGCAGCCAGCATCCATCCTGAAGAACCAGCCGGGCCAAAGGCAGGGTGTGACTGTGCAGCAGCAGCAGCTGAAGGAAGTATGTGTCTACCTCAACCCGAAACGTCTCGGAGGTGTATCAACGCCTCTGTCTGTCAGCGGAGGCCTGTTGGAGGCTCTGCTGGGGGTGGTGCACCGTCCATCGTGGAGCAGAGGTCACGGAGACTCTGCTGTTGCCAGAGGGGAAGAAAGACTGACTGTTCATGGATTAATACCAAACAGCCCGGCCATCAAAAGTGGCCAGATCCTAATCGGTAAGACCATTATTCAAACAGTTAGCTGATAGAAAACTACAACCTGTGATCAGAACTTTAGCCTCATCAACCTTTTAACCAGGGACGCTTTATCCCCTCTGGTGTCCAGAGCGTTCACACTCCAGTAGAGGTAGGAATGTGTCTGAGAATTTTTTATTCCAATAAAAATAGATAATAGTAGAAATTCTCCATTCTTAAAAAAGAGTTATAAGTTATTAAGAGTGGAAAAAGGCAGCAGTTAAATTCAGAGTCATGAACCGGCACTGAACTCATTCATCTCCACACCACACACATGCACTGCCAAAGCACGGGCTGCAGTTATTACCCTGCATGCCAACGGAGCTGGAGGCAGGGTGGATTTTTTTCACTCCTGTCTACTGTGTGTGTGTGTCTGTGTGTGCGTCTGTGTGTGCGTCTGTGTGTGTGTCTGTGTGTGTTTGTGTGTGTGTCTGTGTGTGTGCATGTCAACAATACTCACACAGACTTCCACCAATTTTCGTAGGAACATTTTTTAGGGGGTTAACTCCT